CTCTGATACACAGATCTGTTTACAGGCTCAGAAACACATGTATTAATGGGGGTCAGAGTAAGCATGCTTTGTACCAGCATTCTGATACACAGATCTGTTTACAGGCTCAGAAACACATGTATGAATGGAGGTCAGAGTAAGCATGCTTTGTACCAGGGCTCTGATACACAGATCTGTTTACAGGCTCAGAGAGACATGTATTAATGAGGGTCAGAGTAGGTATGCTTTGTACCAGGGCTCTGATACACAGATCTGTTTACAGGCTCAGAAACACATGTATTAATGAGGGTCAGAGTAAGTATGCTTTGTACCAGGGCTCTGATACACAGATCTGTTTACAGGGTCAGGAACACGTGTGTACTAATGTGACCTTCCTGTTAAGAGCACATGTCAGTGGGTGTGACCTTCCTGTCAAGGACACCTGTCAGTGGATGTGATCTTCCTGTTAAGGACGCCTGTCAGTGGGTGTGACCTTCCTGTTAAGGACACATGTCAGTGGGTGTGATCTTCCTTTTAAGGACGCCTGTCACTGGGTATGACCTAACTATTAAGGACACATGTCAGTGGGTGTGACCTTACTATTAAGGACACATGTCAGTGGGTCAGTGTGACCTAACTATTAAGGACACATGTCAGTGGGTGTGACCTAACTATTAAGGACACATGTCAGTGGGTATGACCTAACTATTAAGGACACATGTCAGTGGGTCAGTGTGACCTAACTATTATGGACACATGTCAGTGGGTCAGTGTGACCTAACTATTAAGGACACATGTCAGTGGGTGTGACCTAACTATTAAGGACACATGTCAGTGGGTATGACCTAACTATTAAGGACACATGTCAGTGGGTCAGTGTGACCTAACTATTATGGACACATGTCAGTGGGTCAGTGTGACCTAACTATTAAGGACACATGTCAGTGGGTGTGACCTAACTATTAAGGACACATGTTTGTGGGAGTTACATTCCTGTTAAGGAAACATGGCAGTGGTGTAACCTTCTTTTTAACGACACCTGTCAGTGGTTGTGACCTAACAATTAAGGACACCTGTCAGTGGTTGTGACCTGACTAGTATAAGGACACATGTAAAATTTATGCTGACGTGTGATTTTTAAGGAATATTAGTTTTGAATAGGTCTAAAACAAATGTTTCATCATGATAAACATGGCGATAAGATAGTTTAACTTGCTGGTACCCTTGACCTATTGGGTATTAACGTACATCAGGTCAGTCACTATTGGTTTTTAACTGGTGTGAGACCTTATTTTAAACTTCAACGGTTAGCTCCCTTCCTGATCAGGCGTAGTGATATGCAATACTTTCGTTTATGTTTCACCCAGCAATTAGTAGCGTCTGACAACTTCAAAACATGAAAAAATATTTTTTGTGAAATAAACTTCACGCCTGCTTAAACATCATTCCCCTATATAACATTTAAAGTTCCGTAATGGAATTACATTTCTAAGCGGATGCAGTTGAAAACGAGAGTGAAAATCATGTAAACAACATGGTTGACAACGTTGCTGTCATGATCGGATAATACACTAAGAAGTGCACGGGTGCTTTGGTACCATGTCCATTATATCCATGTCCCGTCTTAATTTCTAATCAAACTGGCACACTTTCAATTTTGAATTACGTCCATTGTCATAATCCCCGAGGTCCAAGTAGACAGATTAGACATGGCTTTGAAAGGGCAGGGGTCGCCCGGTCAAACGGATACATTTGACGGTATTCGAAATGGGAATGAACCTAGCGGCCAGGGACCTACAATACTCTCCGATAACAACGAGCTCTCCTACATTGTGTATGAACACGACCCAGACTTGATTGTAGAGATTGACATCCCCCTTGATGATAACGAACCCGTCATAAATGGTCACTCGAGGGGACCAACAGGTACTAATATACATGTATCAGGTGGTCATTCTACCAGGAAGACTTCATCCAAGGCCAAGTCAAACTCACCGGTGAAAACAAGAGGACGTCCAATCCAATCTCACGAGGTAGGTCGTACTCCGTCAACAACAAAACAGGCCAGCCTGGAGTTATGATGGCTACATATATATGTCTATGTGCATTTACAGATACTGGAAAGAAGTTCTGACAAACATCATTCCTTTTTAATATTTCATATACAAGCTTTATTTTAAAAAAATGGTTTTCATTTTCAGAAGTAACTTTATCAGTTCTAACTAAAAGTATCTTTTGCTTCATCAATACCAAATACTGTATCATGTACACAATATCTCAATGTTTTACCTCCCTTCCACATACTCTATACAATATCTCAATGTTTTACCTCCGTCCCACATACTCTATACAATATCTCAATGTTTTACCTCCCTACCACATACTCTATACAATATCTCAATGTTTTATCTCCATACCACATAATCTATACAATATCTCAATGTTTTACCTCTGTACCACATACTCTATACAATATCTCAATGTTTTACATCCCTACCACATACTCTATACAATATCTCAATGTTTTACATCCCTACCACATACTCTATACAATATCTCAATGTTTTACATCCCTACCACATACTCTATACAATATCTCAATGTTTTACATCCCTACCACATACTCTATACAATATCTCAATGTTTTACATCCCTACCACATACTCTATACAATATCTCAATGTTTTACCTCCGTACCACATAATCTATACAATATCTCAATGTTTTACCTCCGTGCCACATCCTCTATACAATATCTCAATGTTTTACCTCCGTGCCACATAATCTATACAATATCTCAATGTTTTACCTCCCTACCATATATATATATACTCTATATATAGACATGTCCATGTTTACCTCCGTACCACATAATCTATACAATATCTCAATGTTTTACCTCTGTACCACATACTCAGTGTTTTACCTCCGTACCACATACTCAGTGTTTTACCTCCGTACCACATACTCTATACAATATCTCAATGTTTTACCTCCGTACAACATAATCTATACAATATTTCAATGTTTTACCTCTGCACCACATACTCTATACAATATCTCAATGTTTTACCTCCGTACCACATAATCTATACAATATTTCAATGTTTTACCTCTGCACCACATACTCTATAAAATATCTCAGTGTTTTACCTCCGTACCACATACTCTATACAATATCCCAGTGTTTTACCTCCCTACCACATAATCTATATAGACATCTGCATGTTTACCTCCATACCACATACTCTATACAATATCTCAATGTTTTACCTCCATACCACATAATCTATACAACATCTCAATGTTTTACCTCTGTACCACATGCTCTTTAAAATATCAAAATGTTTTACCTCTGTACCACATACTCTATACAATATCTCAGTGTTTTACCTCCCTACCACATAATCTATATAGACATCTGCATGTTTACCTCCATACCACATAATCCATACAATATCTCAATGTTTTACCTCCGTGCCACATCCTCCATACAATATCTCAATGTTTTACCTGTGCACCACATACTCTATACAACATTTCAATGTGTTACCTCTGTACCACATACTCTATACAACATCTCAATGTTTTACCTCTGTACCACATACTCTCTACTCTATACAATATCTCAATGTTTTACCTCCATACCACATACTCTATGCAATATCTCAATGTTTTACCTCTGTACCGCATACTCTATACAACATCTCAATGTTTTACCTCTGTACCGCATACTCTATACAACATCTCAATGTTTTACCTCCATACCACATACTCTATACAATATCTCAATGTTTTCCCTCCGTACCACATACTCTATACAATATCTCGGTGTTTTACCTCCGTACCACATACTCTATACAATATCTCATTGTTTTACCTCTGTACCACATACTCTATACAATATCTCAATGTTTTACCTCTGTACCACATACTCTATACAATATTTCAATGTTTTACCTCTGTACCACATGCTCAATGTTTTACCTCCGTACCACATACTCTATGCAATATCTCAATGTTTTACCTCTGTACCACATACTCTATACAACATCTCAATGTTTTACCTCTGTCCCACATGCTCAATGTTTTACCTCCATACCACATACTCTATGCAACATCTCAATGTTTTACCTCCGTACCACATACTCCATACAATATTTCAGTTTCACCATTAAACATGATAATAAGTATAATAACGTGGTACTTTAAATCTGTACCATGCCTTATACAATATGTGAAATTTATGGTTAAGTTTACCTGATCATTCTACACGCACACTATAAGCTGGCTATTTTATCCTGACATTTCTGACGAGGAATGTCCCCTTTGTATATAACATCTTCCCTTTGTATATAACGTCCTGTTATCATAATTCCTGTTTTGTTCACCATGAAAAGGAAACATGAAGCCACAACCTCTGTAAACATGAAATCCTTAGGAAGTTTAGGTGTAGATACTAGATAAGACTTCTAAAGGTGTAACCAATGTAGCATCTGATGGACCATTTACAGTTTGGGTCTGCGTTGGACTGGGATCACTGTAGAGTATACGTGTTGTATCACTATGTCGGAACTTTGATTCCTACTGCACTAGTACTGTAGGTATTGCCTTTAGTTTATCAATGTACATACATGTATCTGTCTTGTATTTTTTATTGTTATTTTAAATGCCAAGAGCCATGGCAGGTCTTGGTGTCTGATGCTATCGGTCTGTGGGGGCCAGCATTCAGTGCTCCCTCAGCTGTGTCCAGATTTACCAAAAGATTGACACAGCGTTAATGAGATGTTTTGTCTTTACCAACAGATGGAACCATTCCTTAGTGTAGATAATCTACCACCCGAGAAACGGGCGTCCCAGACAGGTAAGTCTCCACAGGGGCCCAAAAAGGGGGGCACTGATGTAGGCTCACATACATATAATACAAAATATAAACAATTGTTTGGAACATACTTCCAGGAAAAAGTAGTAATAATTCATTAGGATGACTGCAAGTGTTTTTTCCAGCTGCTATTACAGAAAAGATGATAATGTTTTTATTCTTGTTGGGGAAATATTGAGTTGTTCTCCTGTAGATGACCCCTCGTGTTGCTACAATAGACAGGAACCAATCTCTGCAGTCTATATGTCAAGTGTTTAGGTGATATTTGAGACAGGATAGATTTAATTAAGTTTATAATCAATGCCAAAGTCTGAGTTAATTAGAGCTGTAGGATTAACATGTCAGAGGTGAATGGTGAAGATCTTGAGAAACGTAGCGAATTTCTCGTAGAAATCTTAAAATGGAGAAACGATCCTTCTTTCAATCAGCTTGCCAAAACATTTCTTGGAGAGCATGTTTATGGAAAAAGGTCTAAGTCTGCAGTGCCTAGAGGTCTCGGGGAGCAAGATTGTGGGACAAGGTCGAAGTCTGCAGCTCCTAGAGGTTTGTGTTCACAGCTGTGATAGGGACAAACAGGCCAGGGTCTGGGAATGTGGTTAGTTAGGGCACATGTCAATCTTATAGAGATGTTTAGTTGGGAAGTGGACAAACAGGCCAGGGTCTGGGAATGTGGTCAGTTAAGGCACATGTCAATCTTATAGAGATGTTTAGTCGGGAAGTGGACATTTGAGGATCAATCCAGCTGCTTATCTAATATTGATTTATATGTTAGTGTTTCAAATATTAAGAGGAATTAACCCAAATGAGTTATGACAATACAATTGTAATTCATAAAGCAATCTTTGTCTTGTCAGATGGAATAGCTAGGTAACAAATTGAGTTTTTCTCATCATTAAGAAAATATCGGCATCAATAGTATAACCATCGCTGTGAGTTTGTGAGCTCATTGTATTGTAGGGCTGTATAAGACAATATTTATCAACATGTATTGTGATGATACACTAATACATGTATCAATATGCAGTGCACAGTATCACAAAATAATAATACATCACATCTTCTCAGATATCTTGATCCTCATATAACATCAATTACATACTGGTACGATAAGAATGAACATGGAGGTAGAACTATTTATCATGGCCGATAACAAAACTCAATGAAATCATGCTTGATTAGAATGAAATACAATGTTTCAGCTTTAAATAATTAGATTTGTATAATAATGTACTGTTAAATTCTTGTTTTTGATAAATTTAAGGGATAAAAAACAAACTAAAGACAACGAAATGTAAATTGGAGTATTTGTTTGGACTATAGACTAGGGTGTGTTTTTTAATCCTTTTGATATATAATGGTGTAAAGGAAGGGGGCTGATCAGGATATTGTCTTACGATATCTGTGACATTGTAACTAAATGTGTCTGATCGTTGATGTGTTCCTGTGGCAGTGTAATTATTGTGTGGCTGGTAAGATATTTCCTTATCTACACACCATTATTTCTGCCTCCCTGTATTGTAATATCAAACACTAACAAATAAACTTGTCAACGTTCCAAACCGAAACAGATACTCTTTATATTCAAACCCATAACAGCTGTAGGAAATCGGCATTTAAACATTTATTATGCATGTTTAACTGTTAAGAAATATTAATGCATAATTGTACCAACAAAACCTATTTTGAACTGAAGAGAAAATAGATTGGAACATAATGGATATAAGATTTACATCTAGAAATGGTTAATTGACCAGTGTGGGCTAATTATTGTGATGAGGACTTCAGTTCTATAATATTTACACAGAGGGGGACAGTGGGTATGTTATGGTGTCTATAGAAACAAGAGACAAGGTTTTTATACCGATATTTATAACAGACTAACTAATCCTATTGTAATGGCTGAGGGAGGTGACTAGATACACTAATGGCTGAGGGAGGAGACTAGATACACTAATGGCTGAGGGAGGTGACTTGATACACTAATGGCTCAGGGAGGTGACTAGATACACTAATGGCTGAGGGAGGGGACTAGATACACTAATGGCTCAGGGAGGTGACTAGATACATTAATGGCTCAGGGAGGTGACTTGATACACGAATGGCTCAGGGAGGTGACTAGATACACTAATGGCTCAGGGAGGTGACTTGATAGACTAATGGCTCAGGGAGGTGACTAGATACACTAATGGCTGAGGGAGGTGACTTGATACACTAATGGCTCAGGGAGGTGACTAGATACACTAAAGGCTCAGGGAGGTGACTATAGATACACTTGGTGTTGAGCAGAATAACTCTGACCTTTGTTTTCAGTGAACTCTGGGAGCTCCAAGTCTCGTCGGAAGATAAAATCCTCTCCTGGTCCAGGAAATCGTTCCTCGTTGTCCGGTCACTCTCCTTACGGTTCTCCTGCCTTCTTCCTCAGGTAAATCTTGGACATCATTGTTTCTGTCAGATGGTACTGTATTTACAGGCTAGGCCTAATGTATGTGTGGTTCACTGTCGTTAGAATCTGTTGGGCAGTCTCAATTTTTAGCTCACGTGGTCCAAAGGACCATGATGAGCTTATGCCATACCGCAGCGTCCATCGTCCGTCCGTCCGACAACTTTTCCTTTAAAACGCTAGTAGTCCTGAACGGCCAAGTAGATTTTGACTAAATTTGGTCTGGAGCATCCTTAGGCTAAGGGAAACCAATTTTGTATAAATGGTGGGTGTGACCCCCCTGGGTGCAGAGGGGCGGGGCCCAATAGGGGAAATAGAGGTAAAACCTTTAAAATCCTTCTTCTACCGTAGGGATTAAGGGATTTATCCTAATTCAGTCTGGAGCATCCTTGGGCCAAGGGGATTCAATTTTGTATAAACGGTGGGTCTGGCCCCCCAGGGGCCTGAGGGGCGGGGCCCAATAGGGGAACCATAGCAAATTATTCATTAAAATCTTTCTTCTTCTGTAGGAATGTAAGGATTTGTTCCATATTTGGTGTGGAGCATCCTTGGGTGAAGGGAAACCAATTTTGTATAAACGGTGGGTGTGGCCCCCCTGGGACCTGAAGGGCAGACCCAATAGGGGCAATAGAGGTAAAACCTTTAAAATCCTTCTTCTACCGTAGGGAATAAGGGATTTTATCCGAATTTAGTCTGGAGCATCCTTGGGCCAAGGGAACTTATTTTTGTATAAATGGTGGGTATGACCCCCCTAGGGGCTTTGGGGTGGGGCTCTGTTTTAAATTTGTTCTCGCTATATCTCAAGTACTGGTTGGATCTTGCTAAAATTTCATGATGTACTTACAGCACCTACCATGGAGTGCTATATCTTTACTTCATACCAATTATTTTAAACATATTCAGGTGAGCGATACAGGCCCTCTGGGCCCTTTATTAATTATGTGTGTCATAATTGTTCATTTTGTGTACCATTAGAATCTGCTGGACAGACCAATTTTAGATGAAATGTTGGACAGACCGGAGATTTGTATGAACTATTGGACAGACCAGAGATTTGTATGAACTGTTGGACAGACCGGAGATTTGTATGAACTATTGAACAGACCGGAAATTTGTATGAACTGTTGGACAGACCAGAAATTTGTATGAACTGTTGGACAGACCGGAAATTTGTATGAACTGTTGGACAGACCAGAGATTTGTATGAACTATTGGACAGACCAGAGATTTGTATGAACTGTTGGACAGACCAGAGATTTGTATGAACT